GATCTAGGGTCTCCCAGTCAGACAGCGGGACTGAGAAATGCTGGGGTCATACTCACCGGGTCACTTTAAAACAAAGAAAGAAAATGGAGAGAAAAGCATTTGTTTGGGATATGGAGTGTGTGTGTGTGTGTGTGTGTGTGTGTGTGTGTGTGTGGGTGACAGAGAGCAAAAGAGAGAAATTTCTCACCTGTCTCCTACCTCCCATCTGGAGACACCCTCCTACCCACAGGAGACTTTGGAACAGTGTTTTACAATGTAGATTTTATTATTACTCAAGTATGATGATGCCAACAAATCAGGAACTAACTGTCATTGCAACTATACTTTGTTACTCACAGACCCCAAGAGAAGGAGGCATGACACACCACACAGGGTCACACAGGGAAGCACCAGTGTCAGTCAGGAGACAGGGGAAGTAGGGAGGGGTGTCATGGGAATGTGAACAAAAGCCTTTACTGTGGTTTCCAAGGGAAGCAACATGTGAGGAAGGGCAAGTACATTTCTAATTAACTAGTGTGAGTAATTTCATCAGGCTCTTGGGGAGAGAGTCTGTGCCTAGTTGGCTGGTACCTTGCCCTGGGCTCATCAGGCCAGGTAGACAGTGGCCCTGAGTGTGAGCACCCCATAGTGGTAGGGGTGTGGGCTCTGGATTGGTTTGCATGTGAAAGGCACATCCACAGGTGAGTCCTTCACTATGGCTAGGAACTGGCTATCCCTGGAAGGAACAGTCCCTCTAGGGTCAGTAACTGCACGCCTTCAACTCCAGTCAAAGCCTCAGAAATACAGAAAATAAAAAAGTAGGATTAATACAATGGGGATGGTACAATTGCTTCTAGGGTGCAGATGCCTGGGTTAGTCAATATCCTCCAAAGTGCAACAAAGAAATGTCCTTGACTTGCCTTCTGTGAGCCTGACCAGTTGTGCAAATGCAAAGTGTTGCATGGTTATTGAGCCTAGGATATATAAACTCAAAGTTTCTGTGCAGTTTCAGTATACACTAAATTTGTCAGAAATTCAACCACTGTGTAAACCAGTGGAAGATTATTGTTTAAAGTAGAAATTATTCATTGTTTTGGAAAACCATGCCATCAATAGTGATGTCACTCACTGCTTTCAAGTTTGCAATGCAGTATGACTGTATCAATCCTCAATCTGCCCCATTATACCCAAATACATGACAAAAGATGTGAAGATTGCTTGTAACAAACTTAAAACCAGATATATTTAAATTAGTAGAAATTCAGAAAATGTACCAAATTGTATTAATAAGGGTTAGTAACTACGTTACATTGTCATTCTATATATATATATTTTTTTTAAAACTGTATAGCAAAATAAGACCATCTGGTAAAAATTACACATTGAAATGATTAACATGAGGCTCCCTATTACTTTTCAATCTTATTTTGATGCTATTCCCTTGGCTTCTCTATAAAACCCTCTCATATTATTAATATTATTCCTTTGTCCAATCAGTCCTCTATTTCCTGTCACTACTAAAGAATAGATCTCCAAAGTCTTTAAAAGACTGGAGGCTGAATGGAGAGACTGAAATGAGATAGAATCATAAGACAGGAAATGGATCTTCTGTTATGTTTTGTCATTACCTGCCCCATGTGTTAAACACAGGGAATTTCCTTATTACTTTTAAGTAAGACCCAGGTCATTTACAAAAATATCATTATTTTATTCACCTCATTAGTGTATAATATTTCTTCCCACATTTTTCCTACTTCAGTTGAAGTTATTTTCATCTTTTAATCACATACCAATAAATCTGATCTAGTATTACTTAACATTAGCTTTACTTCTAGTGTCTACATTTCTCTTTACTTGTGCATTTTCTTTCCTTTTAGTACCAAATGGCTTCCAACCATTTTCCTTCTTTTAAATCTGAACTTATTCCAAATAAAAGTAAGCAGCTGAATATCTCATTCTGTGTTCTAATGAATTCTTGCCTGAGCACTGATAATTTACATGTTATCTTATTATAAATTACTTTCTATTTCTTTTTTATACTAAAATTTTAAAATTACATTAATTTTAAGACTCATACACGGGTAGTTTTCATTATCTATAAGTTTCATTTAAAGAGAGTAAAGGAGGTAATATAAAATATTTGTCTTAAAAAGAAGGTATTGGGTCTGAGAGCTCCTAGAAATTACAACCCTCTTTATGGATCTGAAAGCCCATCAATAGTGTCTGGCAATTTTATTCCTTGTTATTATCGGCAGACTTTGTCAAAGTGGAAAATAAATACTTCAGGCAATTTGGGAATATGCAAATTGTCAACTCTTATTTTTAGCTTTCGAAATAAAAGAATCTGAATTCTGTGATAAATTCAAAAATCTTTATTGACATATTTATTCAGCTCTATGCCTTTGTATTTTTAAATATGTGTTATAAATATGTTCGAGCTTTGATTTTTTTTTAATTCTGTAATAGACTCTGATCTTTTTTCCTAACTAGCTGGTAGGTAAAATTAGTGTTACAATCACAAAGAGAAAATATAAAACCCACCACTCTAAATTCACTAAACAAAATGTTGAAACGAGTGTCTGCCATTCAGAGGTGGATTGAGGGCCTCCTGCATTGCTTCCCTTTGCAGGGTGTAGGATCCAATGTAGCTGGGAATCGTAACTCATTAGAGGTCACAGAACACTTTGTGTGGCCTGATGAAAACATGGAGACATTCCCTAGAAAAGGTACATCCGAGTGAACTTAAGGGAGACTTGCGAAGTAAAATCAGGAGATCTTTTTCTCCAGTTGGATGTGGTAGGGTAAGAGCTGACTCTGAAGCAGCTCAATTTTTACATATTGGGTAGATGTTAATCATGAGCCATGTTGTGAGACTGCAGGATTGTGGCGTGAGTGTATGAAGATGGTGGATTGTTGGTTTAACCTTAACCTAATGGGAGGGCAGGGAATTAGGAGTCTGAAGAAATGGAAGGACAGGAGGAGATGAAAGAGGGAACAGAAGATGATGGTTTCCCCAGTCGAATATACGTGAGTTCCAAATGTGGCATGGTTCACACGGCCAAGGTACTTCCAAAAGATTACCAAATCCAGTATTTGAATCTCCTGGTCCCCTGAGGAAAACGATTTTTTTAAATTTCTTCTGAGCCTCAAGTTAACCTCACTGAACTTTTAGAAAGAATTTCTTCTTAAAAGCCACCAGCTTAGCCGAACATCCCCTGACCCACAGGATAGGGAATGACTCAATACTGTCCCACTGGTGGGGACATTCTCACCATCACTCAGCTTTTCTGAGTTCAATTACCTTCTTCCATGAGTGTACCCCCAATTCCCTTTTCTTCCCTTCAAATATGACCTAGACAGTGAACCCTCTGTACACCAGACATCCACCTCAAGGCTCAGTCTGTTTTAAAACTTTTCAATTTAGAATTCCACAGTGGGATTCAGAGCGAAAGTCTCAGCTGAATACAATGCACATTTGCTTCACTATAATGTAGAAAAATACTACCCCTAGGAGCCTCTTGCCTTAGATGCTGATGGTTGAGGGAGAAATCAGATCATTCTGGGTCCCAGGACACATTTTATCTTCATCTCAACATTGCAGAGAGTAGACTTTTTTTGCTGGTCTTTTGCATTTTAAATTGATATCACAGATGTATTTTGTAACACTACTGTCTTATGTTATTTTTGCCTCTTCTCAATAGTCAATTGTTTCTCATTCAATTTCCTAACCCTTGGCCTTCTCAATTCATTTTTTTTTATCTCTTATTTCCTAGAATCTTATTTCTTAAGTTTTGTTTTCTTAAATTTTATTCAAAGTACCAAGACGATGCAGTCTAAGTTTTTCCTAAATAAATCACGTTTCCAATTTATGTTCTCTCTCTACCTCTTGAGGGCCATATATTCCTACTTTTGTGTAAAATGATCTTTTCAGTGATCCATATTATTTTTATGTTTACCCATCCTTAAATGATTCATGAACTCTCCAAGTCTGGAATGTGTTTTCACAAACAGAATGAACAGTGTTTGTTTTCCTTCTATCCCTCCATTTTCATTTGTGTAAGATTAGAATCTTTTTTTTTTACATTTTTAATTTTAATTTAGTTAGATGCTATTTGCCTTGAAAAGCATAGAACCAGGTTGCAAGTAATTTCAGTAAGAAAATACACCACCATTAAAGTGTTATCTCTAAAAAATAAAATAAATAATTTTAAAGTGCTATTTCTGCTCCTTTGGACCCGAACCAAAAAGGTAAAGTATGCATGCCTCTTTTCCTCCCAAAACAGCTAAGAAAACCCATTACCATTAGTGGGTTTTTTTGTTTGTTTGTTTGTTTATTTAACCACTGATACACTTGTCCTCCAGACCTCTGGGGAATGCCTGCCACACCAGGAAAAAAGTGTGCCACATTTGGGAAACCCCATATCCGTGACAACACTGAAAGCCCTGCGGTTGGACATGGCCCCTCACTCCCAGCCCACCCTATCTAGCTGCCTTTAGGCTCTGCCTGCTTCTCCCCAGGTCCTGCCACCTGCCGACCTGCCACTGGCTGAGCGCTTGGCCCCTACACCCCCATTAGAAGTGACTTTCTGCCCAAGGTACTCTGAGCACCCCCACCCCCACCCCACCTGACCTCTTTGCTGTCTGGGAGCCTGCAGCACCATGGGCCCCCAGGCTCTCTTGACCCTCACCTCTCATGCGTGTTGGGAAACACTCTATCTAGGAAACCAGGATATTTTCTGTGTAGACTGAAATCCACTTGTTGGGAGCTGTTTGGTGGGCCTGGTGAGTTTTCATGCTTATTTCATCCTGGCTAACCCCTCACGTGGCCTTTCACCTTCCACTCAGGAAACAAAAGCATCACATTTTTTCTCAAAAATGTACAGCTCCTTTTAAAATATATTCTAAGACTTCCCTTTCTGGATCTTCCTTAAAAAATAAATGATTATTCTAATATTTGTGCATATTAATTCAAACTGTTTCTAAAATTTATTTTGTTATCTTATAAAGTGCAAAATTCTTACCAGGAATCAAGTTGCTCAAGTACCATCCACACAAAAAATAAAGGCTTGAATCCAACAGAATCATCCAGCAAACCCAGCCAAATGTCATGCCCCCTTGTTCTGGAGCCTGGTACATATTATTCCACTGAATCCCTAGCAAGAAGAAAAAGGTCAGGGTTAGAACTGCACAAGCTCTTTTACAGTAGATTTTGTCACAATGAGTTCATTACTTCTGGAAGCTCAAGTAAAGTTGAATAGAACTAAAACAAAAAGAAGGTCAATACCACTGGCCATAACTCTCCAAATGAAATGCTAACTTGTGCAATCTTACACCTATTTCAATGATACCAGGTGGGGTGATCATTAACTACATTTTAATATCTAATACTTTAAAAAGTTTTAAAGGTCACCTTACTCCTATCTAGTTTTATTTACTGAGTAGAAAGGACTTTGTATTTAAGGAAAATCAGCATTCAAAAAAAATTTTAAAAGTCTCCTTGAGAGCCCAAATTCTAAACTGTGTAACTCTCTGTGCTCTTGGAAAATACATAAATAGGATATATAAGAACTAGGGTGGGAAAGAATTATTATTTTCTTATAATATGTTTGTGATTTATTTCTGGATTAACATATAATTTAAGAAAAATATTCCCCTTTCTAAATTTCCCTATGGTACCAGGCTACAGTTCAATAAAATACATTTTTTAATCATTGTGTTCTTGGAATTTAGACCAAAACATTCAAATGGTCTAACAGTGACCATTTTTTGTTTCTATCATCTTGATTCAATTTATTCTAAAGGTTAGTTAGAAGAAATCATTCAGGATTACTCATCTGTAAAAGAACATTTTAATATGTCTTACTGAAAAACTCTAAGAACTCAAAGACCAGTACAAATTAACTGGCTAATGCAACAATAGCTAGAGTCAAATTTTACTTATAGCATGTGTTTTACCTCTGTTTACAAAAACACCCCCTTCCCCCGGAAAACCACACTAATATCTATGAAATATATGTATGTTCTGGTTTAGAATTTTGGTTGTCAAATTCTCAGTATAAGCAAAAAATGCTGCCAATAGATTTTTAGAAAATCATTTTAGGCTGCATTGGTATGAGATAATTGCACTCTATTTTATGCTGATTAGACTTATTTCTGGATCCTGATCTTCAGGAATGATCTAGTAAATCTAGGAGTAAAGATGAGAGCCAACAAACATGTGGATGGCTGTCATGTGAAAGGAATAATTAGAAAGGAGAAACTAGAAAACACGGATAGAGGATCTAGGAAGACAGATCCCAGGTCAACAATCATCTAATACAGTGGTACTATCCTTTTTGGTACCAAGGACCAGTTTCGTGGAAGACAATTTTTCCACAGACTGGGGGATAGAGGACGGTTCCAGGATGATTCAAGTGCATTACATTTATTGTGCATTTTTTTCTATTATTATTACATTGTAATATATAATAAAATAATTACACAATTCACCATAATGTAGAACCAGTGGGAGCCCTGAGCTGGTTTTCCTGCAACTAGACGGTCCCATCTGGGAGTGATGTGAGACAGTGACAGATCATCAGGCATTAAATTATCATAAGGATCATGCAACCTATTGCATGTTTGTGAACCTTTGTGACACATGCACCTATGTGAACCTTTGCATGCACAGTTCACATAACATTCAGGCTTCTGTGAGAATCTAATGCCCCCACTGACCTGACAGGAGGTGGAGCTCAGGCAATAACGTGAGCAATGGAGAGTGCCTGTAAATACAGACGAAGCTTCTCTCCCTTGCCTGCTGCTCACCTCCTGCTGTAAGGCTCAGTTCCCAACAGGCCATGGATTGCTCCATGGCCCAAGGGTTGGGGACCCCTGATCTAACAGATGAACACATTTGCATACCCTACTCTTGGAAGGTTCAGAAGGTCACTCACCTGACCCAACATCAGGGGTGGTATAAGGAAGACCCGAGCATTGGCTGGGTGGTTGACCTGGATAGTGTCTGAAGCTAGGGATGCCATGATTATTCTTAAATGTTCTCAAAACTGGGGCTACCAGACAGTGGGAGGTGTATACAACAGTGAAACCAGATATCCGAATCTCATTCTGAATGCTCTACTTGATAATGAAGACTTCCTACTGGATCACTTGCAATATAACTATTAATTTCCAAAAAGGTGATTCACTGAGAGTTACTTTTTACACATGCATGCTCTTACCTGTCTCTTGTCCTTCCAGGAATGTAATAAAAAATACTCCTTGTCCAAAGGCAGTTGTGGAGAGAAGGCACTGCCCACAGATTGATGGAGTGAAAAGAAAAACTGCACGTTAGTGTTTGATTGGGACACAGAAAATCCACAACACTTAATTCAAAGAGAGAAGTCGTAACAACTTTTCATTCTGATGACGCCCAACCATCGCTTCAGGCAGTCATTTAAATATTTTAATCTGAAAAACATAGTGGAATGTCAGTCCACTCTGAAAAGCATGATAACAAGCTAGTTTTTAACGTTAAAAGGAATTATTTCTCTTTACTGAGATGCTTGAAGTGTCATAAATCCAATGCATCATACACAGAAATGTGTAACACAAAACAGTGAAAAATGGAATAGAGCAATTTACTATTTTTTATTATTAAGTGAATGCCCTGGAGCATACTGCAGGCTGTCTGATGGAATACATACACTATTCTACACTAGAAAGAAGGCGTATTGAAGAAAAATGTTATTTTATCTCAGTGGAGAGGTCTTATGTTAGAAAGAAATCCCATTAAAAAAAATCTTACATTAAAAAATACAATGTACCAGAGTTAGATATTTTTTATTTGCTAAAAAGCATTTGAATATGTAAAAAGAAAATCAAATTTTATATGCATAGAACCCACAAATATAAGAACCGAGGTAAAATTAAAAACACCACCATTTGAAAATTAGGTCAGATCGTGGATGACTCCTTTTCTATGTACAAGGAGTATATGGGGAAGGACCGTGAATGGTCCCACTTGTGTTAATTATTCTGAAAACATCTACTTAACACTAATATGAAATTACTGGTTATGAATTTTTACAAATGTGACATAAGCCAATCAACACCAATGAACACATATCAATAGATAAAACACTGATGGAATATAACCACTTTTTCATTCTGCATGTGTATCTATGTTGTGTGTACATGGTTAGTAGAAACCAGAGAGCTTTGAATCATTTATTGAAGTTGAAGAAAACTCAGTTGGCTTTCATGTAAATATTTTACTCTAGGCCCTAAATGAGCAGAGAAGGGGTTCTGCTCCCAATAAGTGAGTGAAGCACTGGGGCTTTCATGAATCCTGTGCTGGACAAAAGGACTTTTAAGGGCCTTTAAATACCCCTGAGCAGCCCTGTGATCTAGGTCTCCTTGACATCTCCCCAAAGTCTCTGTTAATGACTCTGTCATATCTCTCAACAGACTGCAATTTTAGGAAGTCACTTCACCTGCTGGAGAGAATAGTCTTGAGCGCAGTGCAAGTGTTTACAGTGATGCCACTGGCTCTCTGAAGAGATCATACAGATGGTTCACCCTCACTTTGATTGAGTTCCTACTATGTTTCAGGCACTGTGCTTGCCAGCAATTGTCATAAAATAATGAATACATTTTTTATGTTCTACGTATTTGATGTTACAGACCTGAAAGTGTTATCATACTTTTTTAGGAGGTACATTTTAAATGGACGAGTGACTCTGACATTGCTAACGGAGAGATTTTTCTACTCAATGTGATGTAATTCATAATGCTTCAAGAAAAAATGCTGATTTTTTGCTTCTAAAATATCTTTAGAAATCTATTATTTTCCATGCATGAAAGAAAGAGAAAATAAAGTTATATGCTTCCTTAAGAATGCTGCTTATTTTCCAGAGTCTGCAGAAAGTCTCTGTTACGTAAAAACTGGATATTCTTAATGGGCTGCTGTCCAGCAAAAACACTGCAGTTTCAATGGTTTACATTTGTGGATAAGATTCTTAAAAGCAGATATCAGAAAACCCATGTAGATATGAATATGACAAATTGAAAAGGTGAGGGTGGTTGGTCTTGTTTTGTTAGATAGATTGCAGTTTTGTTTTATTTTGTATTTTTACAAAACAACTTACTTACCAGAAATGTCTGAATGACAAAACTTAATTGGTTATGTAGAACCAATAGAACTATGTAGGGCAGAAAGCTGATCATGTACACCAGGCTGGTGCAAAGGGCCGCTGTATTAGCTTGGTTGAAAAATGCACTCAAGAGGTAGCTCAGCATGACGACTGACATCCCAAAATCCAAGAGAAAGAGGAAAATAATAAAGGCATTGCTGTGTGCAAAGATGCCACTTGTTTTCAGAATGATGGCCAGAGCAGCACTGCTTATGGTCAACACAACCATGTTCTCCAGGAACCAGGCCAGGAAATGGGTCACTGGATGCACTCCCATCATCTGCAGATACTATCAAAAAGAGAACAAGCCCAAGGTTACCACAGAATGCATACTTGAGGAAGAACAAATCAGATAGTAGGAGAAAGAAGGTGGACCAGTGGAAAGGTAAATCTGCTTGCTTGCAAATACCACCCTGTAAAGGGCCCTGGGAAGGACATTGCCTCCTCAAGCTTGGTATTTGATTTTCATGAGCACTTGTATCCTGGAACTTAAAATTAAGTTAAATTTTTAAAAAAGAGCCATTTGTGACAAACCCATAGCCAGTATCATACTGAACGGACAAAAGCTGGAAGCATTCCCCTTAAAAATTGGCACAGGACAAGGATGCCCTCTCTCGCCACTCCTATTCAACATTGTATTGGAAGTTCTGTCCAGGCCAAACAGGTAAGAGAAAGAAATAAAGCATATTCAAATAGGAAGAGAGGAAGTCAAACTGTCTCTGTTTGCAGGTGACATGATCCTATATCTAGAAAACCCCATTATCTCAGCCCAAAAGCTACTTAAGCTAATAAGCAACTTCAGCAAAGTCTCAGGATACAAAATCAATGTTCAAAAATCACAAGCATTCCTACACACCAACAGGAAACAAGCAGACAGCCAAATCATAAATGAACTCCCACTCACAATTGCCACAAAGAGAATAAAATGTCTAGGAATACAGCTAACAAGGGAAGCAAAGGACCTCTACAAGGAGAACTATAAACCACTGCTCAAGGAAATAAGAGAGGACACAAACAAATAGAAAAACATTCTGTGTTCATGGATAGGAAGAATCAATATCATTAAAATGGCCATACTGCTCTAAGTAATTTAGAGATTCAATGCTATTCCCATTAAACGACCATTGGCATTCTTCACAGAATTAGATAAATCTACTTTAAAATTCATATGGAACCAAAATTTAAAAAAAGAACCTGTATAGTCAAGACAACCCTAAGACAAAAAAACAATGCTGGAAGCATCACACTACCTGACTTTGACCTATACTACAAAGCTACAGTAACCAAAACATCATGGTACTGGAACAAAAACAGACACATAAACCAGTGGAACAGAATAGAGATCTCAGAAATAAGACGACACATCTATGACCATCTGATCTTTGACAAACCTGACAAAAATAAGCAATGGGAAAAGGGTTCCCTATTTAATAAATGGTACTGGGAAAACTGGTAGCTATATGCAGAAAATTGAAACTGAACCCCTTCCTTACACCTTACACAAAACTTCACTCAAGATGGAGTAAAGACTTAAATGTATTTTTTGTTTCAATTTCATTTAGCTATTCTCTCATCTTTCTTATTTCTTTTCTTCTGCTAGGTTTGGGTTTCCATTGTTCTTGTTTCTCCAGTTCCATGAGGTGTGACCCTAGGTTGTCTATTTTTGCTCTTTCAGACTTTTTGATGTAGGCATTTAATGTTGTGAACTTTCCTCTTAGCATCACTTTTGCCATATCCCAAAGGTTTTGATAGGTTGTATCACTATTATCATTCAGTTCACTTAGTTTTCATCTTTATTTCATTCTTGATCCAATGATCATTCAGGAACATGTTATTTAATTTCCATGTATTTGCATGGTTTTGAGGGTTCCTTTTGTAGTTTATTTCCAATTTTATTCCACTATGGTCTGAGTTATATATGACAAACCCACAGCCAATATTGTATTGAACAAGGAAAAATTGAAAGCATTTCCTCTGAGAACTGGAACAAGATAAGGATGCCCACTTTCACCACTACTATTCAACATAGTACTGGAAGTCCTAGTCAGAGCAATCAGACAAGATAAAGAAATGAAGGGCATCCAAATCAGTAGACAGGAAGTCAAACTGTTGCTGTTTGTTGATGATAATATCATATACCTAGAAACCCCTAAAGACTCATCCAAAAATCTCCTAGAACTGACAAGTAAATTCAGTAAAGTTTCAGGATACAAAATTCACGTACACAAATCAGTAGCTCTGCTATACACCAACAGTGACCAAGCTGAGAATCAAATCAAGAACTCAACCCCTTTCACAATAGCTACAAGAAATAAAATAAAATACTTAGGAATATACCTAAACAAGGAGGTGAACCACCTCTACAAGGAAAACTACAAAATACTGTTAAAAGAAATCATAGACGACACAAACAAAGGAAACACATGCTGTGCTCATGGATGGGTAGAATGAATATTGTGAAAATGACCATATTGCCAAAAGCAATCTGCAATCCAATGCAATTCCCATCAAACTACCACCATTACTCCTCACAGAACTAGAAAAAACAATCCTGACATTCATATGGAACCAAAAAAATAACCCACACAGTCAAAGCAAGACTAAGCAAAAAAAAACGAATCTGGAGGCATCGTTTTACCCGACTTCAAACTATACTATAAGGACATAGTCACCAAAATAGCATGGTACTGGTATAAAAATAGGCACATAGACCAACGGAACAGAATAGAGAACCCAGAAATAAACCCAAATATTTATAGCCAACTGATCTTCGACAAAGCAAACAAAAACATAAAGTGAGGAAAGGACATCCTATTCAACAAATGATGTTGGGATAATTGGCAACCCACAAGTCGAAGAATGAAACTGGATCCTCATCTCTCACCTTATACAAAAATCAACTCGAGGTGGATAAAAGACTTAAATCTAAGCCCTGAAACCATAAAGAGTCTAGAAAAATGACATCAGAAAAACCCTTCTAGACATTGGCTTAGGCAAATACTTCATGACCAAGAACCCAAAAGCAAATGAAATGAAAACAAAGATAAATAAATGGGACTTAGTTAAACTAAATGGCTTCTGCACAGCAAAAGAAATAATCAGCAGAGTACATAGACAACCCACAGAGCGGGAGAAAATCTTCACAATCTATATATCCAACAAAGGACTAATATCCAGAATCTACAAAGAACTGCAAGAAAAAAAACAAACAGTCTCATCAAAAAGTGGGCTAAGGACATGAATAGACAGTTCTCAAAAGAAGATAGATACACGGCCAACAAACATATGGAAAAATACTCATCTTCACTAATTATCAGGGAAACGCAAATCAAAACTACAATGTAATATCACCCTACTCCTGCAAGAATGACTATAATTGAAAAAATCAAAAAATAATCTATGTTGGCATGGATGCGGTGAAAAAGGAATACTTTTACACTGTTCGTGGGAATGTAAACTAGTACAACCATTATGGAAAACAGTGTGGAGATTCCTTAAAGAACTAAAAGTAGATCTACCATTTGAACCAGCAATCCCACTCCTGGGTATCTACCCAGAGGAAAAGAAGTCATTATATGAAAAAGATAGTTGCACACATATGTTTATAGCAGCACAATTCACAATTACAAAAATATGGGACCAACCCAGTGCCCATCAATCAATGAGTTAATAACGAAAAAGTATACACACACACACACACACACACACACACACACACCCACACACACACCATGGAATACTACCCAGCCATGTAAAGGAATGAAATAATAGCATACAGAGCAACCTGGATGGAATTAGAGACTCTTATGCTAAGTGAAGTAACTCAGGAATGCAAAACCAAACATCATATGTTCTCACTCACATGTGGGAGCTGAGCTATGATACACGAAGGCATAAGAATGATTCACTGGACTTTGGGGACTCAGGGTAAAGGGTTGGGGGTGGTGACTGATAAAAGAGTACACATTGGGTACCAGGAACACTGCTCGGGTGATGGGTGCACCAAAATCTCAGAAATCACTACTGAATAACTTATTCATGTAACCACACACCCCCTCTTCCCCAAAAAACCTATGGAAACAAAAAAAATTAAGTTATGATAGTTTCAAGTTTTATAACAATATTACAACAAAAATAGCAGGGCCTCTACATAAAAAAATTCTAAGCATAAATTAAGATGGGAAGTCTGCTGCTGTGTTTTTCTGGGTTTGAAAAAAGTTGCTGAATGAGGAACATTGGCTTTGTTCTTGCAATCTCGTATGGCTATTCTTTGACTTTCTTTCATGTCAATGGAAAATATCTGTTAAACTCTGGCATTGCTTCAGACTTCAACATAAAATCATCTTTCTGGAACAGGGACTCAGCTATTTTGTACACCAGAACCCCAGCAGAGGAGAGGGAAGCAAAACAGAGAGGCTCAGGTTAGTTATGGGACAAGATCCATTTCCAAAGTCCCCAGCTTCCCCATCTTTGTCTCCCAGGTGAGGTTTAAGGATATTTACCTCTTCTATCTGGATCTCCTGCTCATACACCAACTTTCTGACCATGCTGGCCACAGACACCATCCACGTCAGCATCATTATCAGTGGAAAAAAGAAACCAACGTTGTTCAGGAATCTGTAAGGGGATAGTTTAGTCAGCATCCGGAGGCAAGCAAAATGACTCTACTAATATTTTACATTTTTCTTTCAAGTTACAAAGCACTTTCAGGAGCGATGTCTCCTTTGGTCATTTCTACATGCCTATGACTTAGGTAGGAGGGCCATGATTGGTGTGCTGATTTTGTAGGTGTGCAAATTCATGAAGGAACTCATGAAGGAGACACAACTGGTTCAAGGTCTCCCAGAGAGCCATAGTCCAACCACAATACTCTGTGACACTTGCCATAGGCAGAGCAGGTTGGAGCAAAGCAGGTCATTAATCCATGCCTACCATTTCCCCAACTTAGTTGGAACCATTATCTATCTTCAATTATTGATATTAATTGATCATAGATTATCATCTACAAAATATGTGAAAATTGGCAAACGAAAGCCTTCCTGTCTATTTTCCCAACACTCACATTTCAACCCACTCTAACTGGGCTCCATTTCTAATATACACTTGAAATGACTCTTATCTAGGGCATCAGTGACAGTCATGCCTCAAAATCCAATGAGAATTATCCAGTCATTTTCCTTCTTAAGTTCTCAGACATGTTTGATGACTTTGGTCATTCCCTTCTCCTCTCTTTCCTCTTAGCTTCCAGAACAACTCCTAGCTTTGCACCCACAGCTTGGCAACTTCTCTTTTACCTGCCTTTAAATGTAGGCATCCTTACCTCAAGTTGGACCCTCTGTCTTCCCACCACATACTCTCTGAGCTCTAAATCCATGTAATAATTATTTATTCAACATTGAGACCAACCACAGGTACAAGCCACGTTACTGGGCTGGTGATACATGAATGAGCCAAACAGTAAAAGGCCCTGCCATTAAGGATCTTTCATTCTAGTATGTTGGCAAGGTGAGAAGGGACGTAAAATAATCCAATAAACACAGATTGCTATGTTCTGTCCCTGCCAAAACTCATGTTGAAATTTAATTGCCCATGTAATGGTATTGAGAGGTGATGCAGCCTTTAAGAAGTATTTGGGTTATGGGGTCTCCACACTCGTGAATGGATTAATGCAGTTCTCATGAGACAAGATGAGTTTCCAGGGTATTGGAATAGTTCTTGAGAAAGCTGGCTGTTATGAAGCAAGTTTGCCTCTCATGTATGAAGCACACACCCTCTCCCCCTTAAACTTTCCGCCAGGAGTTGAAGTGGCATGATGCCCTCAGCAGAAGCCGACCAGACAAGCTGCCTAATCTTGGATTTCCTGCCAGAATTATGAGCCAAATAAACTTATTTTCTTTATAGACTACCCAGTCTTGGGTATTCTGTGATAGCAACACAGAAAGAACTAAAACAGAGACGCATAATGTCAGGTAGTGTTAAATGCTATGAGGAAAAAAGAACCAGTTTAACCAAAAGTGAGAAGGAATGCTATTTCAGACAGGGTGATTAGCTGAGCTGACAGCGGAAAAAAAATACTCGAGCAGAAAGCGGATGCAGTAAAGAAATGAGTCACACAGGTATCCGAAGGGAGACTGCTCCAGGCAAAGGAAAAAAAGGGCAAGGACCCGAGGTTGGAGCAAACAGAACACAGGTCAGGAGCAGCCAAGGCCTTCATGCAACAGCAGCAGATGGGGTCAGAGCATGAGCAGAGGACAGATCATGCAAGGATCTTTCATGTCAGGGTAAGTTCTATATTTTATTCAGTCAACAAGAAAGTACATTGAAAAGACTTTAAAAGGAAGAGAGAGAGAGAAACAGAGAGGTGGCATAGTTAGGTGCACAGTGTTTTTAAAAAGACCATGAAATGCCATATAGACAATGGGGTACAGGTGGGGAAGCCTGTGAAGCGAGGGGTCAGAAGGCTACAGCAGACTCAGCAGTCTAGATGAGAAACAAGGGGTCCCCAACAAAGATTGTGGCCCTGGAGACAGGAAAATGTCCAGATTGGACACTTGCCCTGCGGAAGTAGCCTCTCAGAGGCCCTCCAGAACTTCTCCTTCATAGTATTAATGACAGCATGGAGGACGTTCAAAAATTTTGATGTCTGCAAAATCTAAGCTCCTTAAGGAAGACCTGCCACTGTACCTCCTTGCTCTGGCAAGGGCCTGCCTCATAATGGAAGCCAAATACTTATTAATAAATACATGAATGTGTAACAAAGAAAAGGAAATTCGCTTCTTTGTTTTTATTCACTTTTCTGCTTAAGGCAACTTTTACAAGCTGTCAACTTGGTAGGTCACGTTTGAAAGTTAAATATGTGCTGGGTGCAGTGGGTCATGCCTATAATTCCAGCGCTTTGGGAGGTCGAGGCAGGCGGATCACCTGAGATCAGGAGTTCAAGACCAGCCTGGCCAATACATGGTGAAACTCTGTGTCTACTAAAAATACAAAAATTAGCAGGGTGTGGTGGTGCATGCCTGTAATCCCAGATACTCAGGAGGCTGAGGCAGGAAGAATCACTTGAACCCCGGGGAGGGAGAGGTTGCAGGGAAGTTGAGAAGAAAGAAGAAAGAAAGAAAGAACAGAATGAAAGAAAAGAAAGAAAGAAGAAGAGAAAGAAAAGGAAAGAGAAGGAAGGAAGGAAGAGAGAGAGGAAGGGAAGGAAGGAAGGAAAGAAGGAAGGAAGGAAGGAAGGAAGGAAGGAAGGGGAAAGTTAAATATGGTTAACTTCTATGCTATACAATGACTGTTTGCAGAAGGCAGAGTCTTTTAAATTTCCAGTTTTGAGACTTTCTAGGTTTTTTAAAAAGCATTATTTTTTGTAGTCGTCAGAGCAGGTAGCAGTCTATGAAGAGGAAGTGCCATAAACTCCATATACTTGTCTATCCAGCAAATGCCATTTGTTCTCCCAAAGTAACACAATTTACCACAGAGAGGAAGCTTAGATCACTTGTAAAGTTAGACAACTAATACTGAATTTATTTGGAGGGTTGAAGAAGTTTGTCTATTTGTTTGCATACTTTTTTTTTCTTAATGGTAGTGGACTTGATGACTACTGAACTCTATTCTTGCAGCAACTTGAATCTTACAAAAGAGTCCATAAGTATCATGCACAAGCATTATCTAAGATTCTTTTCTAAGTTGTTGATTCAGAAGTTACCTTAGGTCAGACTTCTGAACCATGTGTGCATTCTATCAATCCCTTAAAGCTTTGTAAAGGAAAAAGTCTTGAGAGGCTTGGAGATGGATCAACCTAGCTCTGAAAATCTTGGAGCACCTACCTCAGATACAAGAGAGTACCCAGACACTCTGCACAGACATGTCAGACTGAGGTCATTTGGTAGAAACAGAATAGCCTAAGAAATTGGAGATGATAGATTACAAGACATGGCTATGTAACCCAGTCAATTTCTTATATGCTCCTGAAAATTGGTCTAAAATCAAAAAGAGAAGAAAAAAAAGACAAACATTCAATTTCTTATAAATGTTTAGAAGAGACATGAAGCATTTGAAATGGTGCTTAAAAAAATCAAGTTCATGTGAGAGTCACACAAAAATGTGAATAGGAGAGAATTCTGTAGCAAAATCCCACCTTCTGCAGATCTCAAAATGCATCATTGAAAATACATTTCTTGGTTGGATGCAGTGGCTCACTCTTGTAACCCCAATATTTTGGGAGGCCAAGGCAGGTGGATCACTTGAGCCCAGGAGTTTGAGACAAGCCTGGGAAACATGGTTAAACTCTGCCGGTTCAAAAAAATCAAGAAATCAGTCAGATGTGGTGGTGCATTCCTGTGGTCCCAGCTACTTGGGAGGCTGAGGTGGGAAGATCACTTGAGCCCAGGAAATTTGAGGCTGCAGTGACCCATGATTGTACCATCACACTCCAACCTGGGTGACAGAACAAGACCCTGTCTAAAAAAAAAAAAAAAAACTTCTTAAAAGCAAACAGCGCACTCTGAGAGGCAAAATATATAAAAGAGATTATGTTAGGTGGGTGTCAAGTTGCATGATAAATTGGATAGCTTTGTCACTGCCTTGATCTTGTTACTCATTATTGATCTTTTCAGGTTTTCTATTTCTTAATCGTTCAATCTTGATAGGTTGTATGTATCCAAGAATTTGTCCATTTCTTCTAGGTTTTTCAATTTGTTGGTGTATATTCATAATAGTCGCTACTGGTCCTTTGTATTTCTGTGATATCAGTTATAATGTCTCCTTTTGTGCTTCCAGTTTTATTTAATTTGAGTCTTCGTTCTTTTTTCTTAATCTAGCTAAAAATTTGTTGATTTCATCTTTAAAAAAAACACCTCTTTGAAACTATTAACAGAGTACAGACAACCTACAGAATGGAAGAAAATATTCACAAACTATGCATCCAACAAATGTCTAATATCCACAGCTTATAAGGAACTTAAACAATTCAACAAACAAATACCCCAATAAAAGCAGGCAAAAGACAGGAGCAGGCACTTCTCAAAAGACATACACGCAGCCAACAAACATGAAAAAATTCTCCCCATCAAAAATCACCAGAGACATGCAAATCAAAACCACAGTGAGATACCATCTCATACTAGTCAGAATAGCTATTATTAAAAAGTCAAAAATAGTGGGGGGTGCCCAAGATGGCCAAATAGGAACAGCTCCAGCCTCCAGCTCCAAGTGTGAGGGACACAGAAGACAAGTGATTTCTGCATTTTCAACTGAGCTACCGGGTTCATGTCACTGGGGCGTGTCGGACAGTCGATGCTGGTCCATGGGTGCAGCGCGATCAGCAAGAGCTGAGCAGGGCAAGGCATCGCCTCAGCTGAGAAGTGCAAGGGGGAAGGGAATTTCTTTTCCTAGCCAAGAGAAATTGAGACACACAACACCTGGAAAATCAGGTAACTCCCACCCTAATACTGAGCTTTACCAAGGGTCTTAGCAAACGGCACACCAGGGGATTATATCCCACGCCTGGCCCAGAGGGTCTCACACCCACAGAGCCTCCCTCATTGCTAGCACAGCAGCCTGAGATCTAACTGCAAGGTGGCAGCGAGGCTGGGGGAGGGGCGCCCGCCATTGTTGAGACTTAA